TGGCAAATGCCTATCAGGGAACAGGATGTGGAGAAGACTGCCTTTAAGTGTCGATATGGGCAGTTTGAGTTTCTTGTTTGTCCATTCGGAGTGACCAACGCACCTCCACAATTTCAGGCGATGGTCAATGATATTTTCTGTGATATGATGGACAAATTTCTGATCGTATTCCTTGATGATCTTGTAATTTACTCGCGGAATATGGAAGAACATCAGCAGCACTTGAGAATGGTTTTGGCTCGTTTGAAGGAGCACAAGTTGTTTGCCAAAGCGAGTAAAACACAAATAGCTGTGAGCAGTACTGATTTCGTTGGTCATTGGATTTCTGGGGATGGTGTTTCACCTATGCCAGTCAAGATTCGTGCCATTCAACAGTGGAAGAAGCTGGAGACTGTTACAGATGTGCGCAGCTTCTTGGGTATGGTCAGCTTCTATCGACGCTACATACGCCGATTTGCAGAGATAGCTGGACCATTGCACGACTTGACCAGGAAGAACATTGTTTGGCATTGGGGACCCAGACAGGAGCAGGCATTTGAAGATTTGAAGAGAGCATTGACTACTGCTCCAGTTTTGATTCTTCCTGATCCCAGTCTTCCTTACTTGGTGGTGACCGACGGGAGCGATGTGGCAATTGGAGTTGTGATTATGCAGGACCAGGGCAAAGGCAACCAGCCTATAGCCTTTCTTTCACGCAGATTGCGTCCTGCAGAGACCAGGTACTCTCCATACGACAAAGAGATGCTGGGGATTTCATACGCCCTCAGACAATGGAGACACTACCTAGAGGATGTGTTGGAGGTGTTACTGTGATGACAGATCAGCAGCCAGCTACTACCTTCATGGAGCAAAAGACTATGTCTCGCACTCAGGCGCGCTGGCTAAAGAGTGGATACTTCGAGAGCATCATGCCAGTGATGAAGTATATACCAGGCAAGGCCAATGTTGTGGCAGATGCACTCTCCCGCAGTTTCACAGTTCAGACTCATCCTGATTCAGTTGCCAGAGTTCAGTCTGCAGCAGTACCTTGTGTTGAAGATTCAGAACGAGGGGCATGGTTGCATTCACTGAACACAGATGCAGGTACTCGTGATGTGTTGGTGAAGCTCAACATGGGACAGGTTGTGAGGGGTTACTCAGTAGATCAGCATGGGATTTTATACTACCAGGCAGCAGGGAACGAGCGCAGGATTGTGGTTCCCACCAGTCAGCAGCAGCATATTCTTGAGGAGCACCATGATGTACCGACGGCTGGACACTTGGGTATTGAGAGGACTGTGGAGATGTTGCAGCGAGTTTACTGGTGGAAGGGGATTCGTCAGTCAGTGAGGGACTACATCAGAACCTGCCCGAAGTGCCAGATGTTCAAGTCAGAGAATCAAGCACCAAAAGGACTTAGGCAGGCGATTCCAGTTCCAACAGCTAAGTGGGAACAGATTACCACTGATCTTGTGACGGATTTACCTGAATCACATGGACATACAGTTGTTGCAGTATTTGTGGATCGACTCACCAAGTTTGTCATCTTTGTTCCTTGCCGGAAAGAGTTGAATGCAGTGGGGTACGCGAGGCTGTTTTTCGACAGTGTCTTCAAGATTTCTGGTCTACCTCGTGCTATCATCAGTGATAGGGACCCCAGATTTTTGAGTAAGTTCTGGCAGGAGCTTTTCCGACTTCTTGGCACCAAATTGCGCATGTCCACCGCGTACCATCCGGAGACAGATGGTCAGTCCGAGGTCTCCATACGCACGCTGGAGAATTTCTTGAGGCCATACGTTAAAGAGCATCCAGAGGAGTGGAGCACATACCTTCCTTTGGCAGAATTTGCAGTGAGGAATGCTATCAACGTAGCGACCGGATACAGCCCGTTTTATTTGATGTATGGGCAGCATGTACAGGCTCCAGTGGGACTCGTGGCTGAGAAGACAGTTGACACCAGGGTAGAGTCAGTGGATGCTATGGTCAGTCGGATGCAGAAGGTGGTGTCCAGTGCCGTGAAGCATTATGAGAGGGCACAGGAGAGGATGGTTACAACTGCCAACAAGCGTCGTCGTGATGTACAGTTTCAGCCTGGAGATGAAGTTGTGGTGAGAACAACATTTTTGCCCTCCACAGCTTTCAAGCATATTCCAGTGAAGATCAGGCGTCGTTACATTGGACCTTTTCAGGTGGTGAAGACAGTTTCCCCAGTTGCATACACTCTCCAGCTACCATCCAACTGGCGCATTCATCCGACCTTCCACGTCGAGAAGCTAAAGAAGTATGAGCGTAGTGAGACGTTTCAGCACACCGTCAGTTCGCCTCCGGAGTCACTAGAGGTAGAGGGCGAGCAAGAGTTTGAGGTTGAGGCGATCATCAAACATCATGGCAGCGCTTCCAGAAGACAGTACTTGGTAGCCTGGAAAGGCTATGAGCTTCATGAAGCAACCTGGGAGCCAGAGGCCAACCTCACGCATTGTTCGGACCTCGTTGTAGAATACCTCCTCAGGCTACAACGACAAGAGGCAATCAAGAAGACCAGACAGAGTCGCCGAAAGAAGTGATGGACTGCGTGGACATATGGATAGCAGGGGCTCATTATGAGTTGGATCGTGGTATGGGACACGGTTAGTCTGACTTATTGTGGATTTCTGTTGGGTACGCCGTATCTTCTTTCTTGCTGGTTTTCTGGGTCGTTGGTCTCGTGGCCGAGGACGACCACACTTGGTGGGGGGGGGAGAATTGATACGGTTGCTCTTGTAGATGAATTAGATGTATTTGATTACCCTAAATGGGTCTGAGTTGGGTAAACTGGCCCTGGGGTGGTTACAAAGGACATGGGACAATGAACGGAGCAATTAAAGACAATCTTGTATAATGTACAAATGTAGTAACCGCCCGGGGATTCCGACTCCCCGTTTCATCCGACCTGTGCGCCCACGGGAGCAACGAAGCTCCCTGCATCAGGTCGCCCCTAGTAGGACCGTGGTCCAGGCTGGCGCCATACTGGTGCCAGTCTGGCGCCGGTCTGGCAACGCACCTAATGTATAGGGGGCGGTTAGAGGACCCCCTTTTGTCAAATGCATCCCTGCAGAAGAACCCCTTTTGTCAAGATATCTCATAGAGGACCCCCTTTTGTCATTTTCCCATGATAATATTATGCCCAACTGCTTTGTTAGGGACGGATCCCTATTGTGCATTTTGTTCTGCTATACAAACACTAGCAGAGACATCCACGTGGTAGGCAGTCATCAAATGACGGATGGTTGCCAGCATCCATACATTAAAAGTTGATGAACATGATTGTGCCAATAATTGGGTTTAAAGAATTCGAGAAACCATTATTCACCAGGAAATAATTTGGGATCTTGTCTTGACGTGCGATAATCTGATGTGTGGAATGCGTCCATGCACATTGCTAGATGGAGGGCAGGGAGACAAGGTTCGTTATGAGTTGGCTAGTGACTTTTTTTTGTATACAACAATCTCTTTCCCTCCACATGGAGGGAAACAACAGGCAAATTTGAAGTGGAGGCTCACCAAGAAGAGGAATTGGAGCCCGTAAACTATGGTGGACACACTTGGCACAGGTTCCTTGCGCAAGGAATGCCTTCTCGCATGGTGTTTGGGCACACATTTCCTTCAAGATCGATGTTGGGAATCCCAACTTGGGATGGAAGACCTGTGTGCAGTATTGTCCACAGCAACTGTGAACATCAAGATATGCTCTCAAGCAAGTACCGATTCATGTAAGTTCCAATGTAAATGCCGTACACAAGTAACCTTAAAACAATCTCGAAGTGGAAAATCTTGTCATTGCCCTCTGGAAAGTTAATCAAAGAGCTGGAGAGAAGGTTCAATTCTGATACGTCTGTTGCTCGCATGACAATGCCAGAAAACGCGCTACTGAAGGACACCACCAGACAAGGCTCACGCAGGCATCTTGTACCAATTTGCCAACAGAAACTGAACGCCTTTGGAATGTTGCCATGCTCAAATCCGTATCAATGACATTTGGCGAAACATACCGCTGCGCCGCCCTTTCATCTATCGGGCGATGCCCAGCGCCGTCCATACACGCAGCTGTGCCCCATCAAACAGCCCGGCGTACAATCGGTGACCCATAAAAGAAGAGAAGACAAGCAATTCTGCCCGCGCCTTATCACAACCTTCATCTCTCCCGCTAGTCCTGGTTGGCGCCTTGAGTCCTCACCTCCTGCTGTTGTTTCTGCAGCGCAGAAACAAACTCTGTAGGCCAGACAAGAGGATCGACACACGACGCCCATTTAACGTGGGCACACAACACACCCCATGACAAGCATTTGAAAGCTCACCTTCACGGACATAAGACTCAACATCTTGGCCCAGTGCCACAGTGCGGGGAGCACAAAACGCCTTCGCCTCATCTTCGCAAGGGTGCTGGGACACAGACTTGTCACAGGCTCTGCGCAAAAACACAGGCAGAACGCCCCAAGGTAGTTCTTTGCTTTCCCCCAACCTGTAGTTGGGGTTAAGGTTCAGTTCGAGAAAACTACAGAGACAACAAAAGAGGCCAAGACACAGACAACGGCATGCAGGCTGGATTTCATTGTGTTGGGTGGAAGGGCACTTGGGGGGGGCGGACTACCCTCTCCTTACCTGTGGCCGGGTGGTTTGATGGGACATCCCATCAGAAGTACCCGTTTCGATCCCTGGTTCGGCTTCTTTACCATCCGCACCAAAACACGTTGCTTTTGCCCCGTACTGTTTTTGCCTTGTTCTTGCCTTGTTCTTGCACTGGATAACCCTGTTGTGCCCTCCCCTTCTCGGTAGTTTGTATGGCCACTTTGTGTGACCTGTTTCTCTTTCTCTTTTGCAACAAATCTTACCCTTCTCGGCAGTTGCCGCACAGCAAAGCTATTACGTCAGAGCCACGTAGATTCAAGGTCCTCTTCTTCTGGCCAAAGTGCTCATACAAGCCCACGCACCGCGGGCATCGGCATGAGCGCCTTGTCCCTTTCTCGCGCTCCCGGCGGCCGCAGGGCGATAGAGAGATGGGCGTGGGGGCTCTCCAAATGCCTTTGGCCGCCGCTGGTGTCGAACCATCAATCTCCTCAAGGGGTGAACCCCGATGGCCTTCGAGGCATCCATGATTCAGAGGCGCCTGGCCCGCCCTCGCGCAGCGTCCTGGACCTGTTCAGCCTCGAGGGCAGCGTCGCGTTCGTGACCGGGGGATCCCGCGGCATCGGCAGGTCCACCTGCCTGGCGCTCGCGAGGTGGGAGAGCGGTCGTGACACGTGGCCAGCGGGCCGTTCGCGTTTCATCCCGGCTGGTGTGTGCGTTCCGTGCGTGGATTGGGCGACCAGCCGTGTTCGAGCGATTTTGCGCGGTGAATTTGCGCATCCCTGGTAGGCATGGGCCCAATCTGTAAAGATATCAAGGCTATCGAGAAGTGCGAAGATCGTTGGAACTGTGGCGGAACTGTGCAGCACAAAGGCTATCCCAGAAGCGTCCAAATCCATGTCGGCATATTCGGAACCAGGCGTCGAAATTCACGTTCATGGTGCGTCCAAGTGATGCAGATGATCAGCTGAAAGTTGTGGACAGCAGGATTGCCGAGAAAGCAGTTTTCCTGTCCTTTTGTGACTATCCTGAGGCTCAGTTATTGGACATTAATTCTTGTGCCACAAAGCGAACCCTGGGTTGCGATGCATGCAGGGATGACTGCGTGAATACCCATTCAGTTAACTGCATTATTCGTATATCATCAAATCTCCATGGCAACTCACTTGCCTTGCTCCAATTGGGCATTTCTGGTCGCAGTGGTGGCTCCTGCCACTGAAACACACACAGGCTGTTCAGCGGCAGTAATACATGCCAGCCATTGCAACAAGGTTGCACGGTAAGGGCAAGTAGGATGGCAAGAAGGCGCATGCAGGAGTAGCATCACGATTCACTGGTGCAAGCACTGTGGTCCTGTGTGTCATGTTTGCATCGAATTGCTTGAAGACAGTCTAACTCCATTCCTTGCCTGGCCTGTCTGGCAGCGCTGGAGCCGATGTGATGGTGACAGATCAACCGAATGAAGTAAGTCCAGTCGTGGGTGTCCAGAGTATTGAAAATGATGCCTTTCAAGACAATGTTGCCAATTTGCAAGCAGCCTGATACTCTTTTCACTGGGCTGGATATGTCTGCCAGTTTGAGCTTCTTGTGCATGTCTTCATGCATCACAGCCACAGCTGCATCTGTCGTGTCCTTTCGCTAGCCCAGACTTGAAAATCTGCAGTGTGCCCTTAACCAGAACTTCTTCCCCTGTGTGGTTCCAGTACTGTGCGCCTTGAGCACATAAACAGAAGCTCTGCTTTGAAGGCTTGCATTGACCAATGTCCACAGAGAACAATTGATGCTTTTATTTATTGTGAATCAGCAGCATTCTCTCTCGACCAGACGAGCTTGTCATAGCATTCTTGAGCGTCAATCACCACTGGCAACTGAGCAATTCAGTTGTCATGCCACACAGGCCAAATGGTGCAAGTCGGTGGTGGAAGACATTGAATGTCTTGGGCGGAGGGCTGCCACAGATGTCTGTGACGTGCGAGATCTCATCTCCGTGAAAAGGGCGGTTCAGACTTGCAAAGAGTAAGCACACAATCGCTTCACTTGTGTGCTCATCCCTCACAAGACAGCGAACTAGTCTACCTGTATTTTCGGGCACCTTTATAATGGGCTCTGCCTTTGAAGTTTTGGCGACACGCAAGTGCCTCTTTCACTATTGTCGGCCCTGTGCCATCTCCGTAGGAGCACACAATGTTGTCTGCGCTCAGCCCTTTTGATTTTCATGTTGACTGTTACAAGGATTCACTGAAGATTGTAGGGCACAAAAAGGATCTGGCTCATATTGCACAGTTCATATGGTGGGACTGAGTTGGTAGGTGAGCAGAGACCATTTTTGGAAACGTGGCTCAATTGGAGCTCTCTCTCACCTTGTGGCTGTGATGACTGCTGCAAAGCGAGCTGGGTCACCTTGACATCCTTGTGGCCAATGCTGGCATTCTTGGCAACATTGAGGTGCCGGAGGAGGCAGACGAAGTGAACTGGAGGAATGTGTTTGCAACCAATGTTGATGGGGTCTTTCACTGCGCACGTGCGGCCTATCCATTGATGAAGGAAAGAGGCAGGGGAAAAGTGATCATCATGAGTTCCATTGCAAGTGAGAATCCACTAATAATGCTCTGTGTGGAGCCAGGGCTCTTTGATGCAAGAATGGTATCGTACTGTACTGTGGACGCCTCCACCTGATCAAAAATATTTGAGAGAATGCTTTCCATGCTGGCAATGACTGCATAGAAGTCCCATGTGCAGAGAATGAGACCATTTGTGGGCAATGTGCACAAATGGCAGTCAACGATGTGGGACTTGCGCTGACTTCTTTGTCCCAAATACTGTCACATTGGATGCACACACTTCACCATTGAAAACGCAGACATGTTGAATTACTTTTCAGTACTGTGCTTGTTGCCAAGAGAATTCATACTCCACTTTCCACAATGAGACTGTCAAAGCCCTGACTTACATACAATTGTCCTTTACACTTCCCTTTGTGAATTGTTGTGCAAAGGTATGACTGGCTACACGCCTGCTGCTGCCTTCTCAAGCTCAAAGGGGGCAGTTGCAATCCTGGCAAAGTCCCTCGCCTCTTCTTGGTAGGTAAAGGAGAAGCTGATTTATCTGTGTTTTCATGTTGCACATGAATAATTCCCTGGGGTATCTACCTGGATTTCTGCCATCAAAGATGCAGCGAAAATATTGTTTTCTTGTAGTAGGCAA